AGATGGAAGGAGAAAGTGAAAGTAAGTTAACTCAGAAAGATAGGGTTAGACAGAGCCTACACCTAGCTGCTCTCCCTTCTGAGGCAGGAAAAGAACTGAGCCTAGGGTGACTCCCACTACAGGAAACAGGAAGTAATTGAAATTAGTCCTGCCTCCCTAAGTGATAGATGGGAATCACCCACAAGATGTCCTCCAAGCTGGGGACAGATGATGAGTCTAAAGAGGGAGAATCGAAGTTGAGTGACTCTGCTACCTCAGGAACGGAAAAGGATTCTGCGGCAGAAAAGGGTGCAGGACTTGCCAGAGTGGCATACGATTTTAGAGACAGAAAGCCAAAGTAAAGGCAGAAGGACTTGGAAAATGGCCTTTTGAAGCAAAGAATAAGAAGATGATCAGAGACTTCTCTCATAACAACTTGCAGAATAAGATACAAGAAGCGAATTGTTATAAGCAAGAACTCAACAAGTATATTGTGATAATAGAACTAATGGTACTAACATATTTACTAACACTGAAAAGATCTCCTTCTCTTGGGGTTTTAGTCTAGTGTAGTTTGCTTTTCTTTATCCCTAGTTGTAGTCCCTCCCCTATGTTTCTTTGTAGTTTGTAGTATATGCAAAATAAAAAATATCCCTACGGGGATTAAAAAAAAAAAGAGTACTAGATTAGGGCTGGGGAGAGCTCCATTCACATTCCAACTAAAACATGAAGCTTACTGCTTGACTTCAGCCCAGGCACCCACTCATCTGAACCTACCTCTCCAGAGTTCTTGTAGGATACAATAAAAGAGCAGGAAATCATGTATATTCTGAGTTCCATGAAGGGATAAAAAACGTGATATGTCATACAACTGTGTTTGTGCATGTTAATCTGTTACTCTTGGCCCTCCCTTTCTTCCCTCTGGCATCTCCTGCACTACTGAAATTCAGATTGAAACCTCTGTGGGGGCAGGGAGCTGTTTTGTGTATGTTACTTTTGTTGATGAAGTGTGCCTAAATTTATACCCAGAATTAAACTTTGTTGGTCTTAAAGGTGCCACTGGACTTAAACTTTCTTCTGATGATAGTCCTCCGAATCCAGAATCCAGTTTGTGTCTTCAAGAGAGTGCCCTCTAGAGGAGCAAAAATCTTTGCAACTTCATTCCTAGCTGAAAAGTACAGCGAGCCGTGAATTAACAGCATGTTATCGGGAAAGACAGCAATAAAATAACATGGAATCAAAGAGGGAGAAAACCCAATTCTGAAAGCACGAGTGATTCTATTAGTGGGGCCAAGGCAAATGCCAAGAGTCCTCATTCTTATCCTCAGGTATTCCAAGGAAACGTAGAACATACATGGATCTTTCCAGCTGGAGCTGTATTAGTTGGGTTTTATCCGAGGATCTCTTCTCTGCTTCGTCCACTCTTTTATTAATACTCTCAGTCTGTTTTTCCATCTTTTTCAACGTTTTCTCGGTTGCTGTGGTTCTCTTGTCCATCTGCTTTAACTGTTTCTGCACATTATCCAGTTTGGTGTTGAGAGTAGTCATCTGATCCATTAGAGGGCGCAGTGCACTTGCTAACAAGGAAGAGAAGTCTGTAGCTGCTTCCTGGTTCTGGGCTGTAGATACTTCCTGGGTCTGGGAGGGAGTCGTCGGTATGTTATTTCCGGTCACCAGTTTTTTCTCCGGCGCTCTCTGTCATCTCCTAGCCATAATATCAACAAGAAGTAAGTTTTCCAAAACAAAGCAAAAGTTATACGTTTTAATTCCGCTCCGTATATTTTAGCAGCTTTTGCATTCGCTTAGCTCCTTATACGCTTGGTTTTTCGCTTTAAAACCGTTTTTACAGTTTACTCCTATGGGGGGGTTTGAAATCTCCTCCCCCCGCACTTCCAACTTAGGCGCTTCCAATTACTACCAAGGCTCCATTTGCTTATTTTTCACCTGAGCTTTGCTTAACTCACAGTTTGTAGCCTTGGAGATCTTTGGAAGTGTTTTCAGTAGTTTGGTCGTGATTGCTTGCTCCGGCAGTCGTCTCTGGGTGCCATGCTGGCTCCGCGGCAACGGTACCTATTGGGGAAGAAAGTGAGCCTCAATTCCTTGGGCGTCCCCTTGGAAGAGGGTCTCCTCAGCTCCCCAGGCTGGGGGTCTCCTACAAAGACCCGGGGGGGGGGCCCGGGACAAACTCGAACCCCTCCCGTCAGCCGGGTCTCGGTGCATCTCCATCTGAGCGAGACGAGATGCATCCGAGCGGCGAAACGCTTACACCGGACGTCTATATGGGGGATATTTAAATCCCCCAGAAAGTAAAAGAGTGTTCCCTGTGCATGCGCAGAGAACGCTATGGGAACTCTGCCTCACCGCCGCTGGGGGGTAGGCTTGGTGGGCGGGCGGCTCGAAGCCGCTCAGACCTCGCTGCCAGTGCCGGGGGGACAGGAGAAGACTCAGGGGGCCGGCAGCTGGGAGCCACTCAGGCCTTGCTGCTGGTGCCTGGGGGGTAGGGGCGGGAGAAGGCTCGGTAGGCCAGCGGGTAGAAGCCGCTCAGGCCTTCACCGCTGGTGCTGGGGGCGGGAGAAGGCTCAGTGGGCCTGGCAGCCACTCAGGCCTCGCTGCTGGTGCTGGGGGGACGGGAGAAGGCTCAGTGGGCCCAGCGGCTGGAAGCCGCTTAGGCCTTGCCGCCAGGGCGGGAGAAGGCTTACCTGCGGCCGCTTCCTCCTCAGTACGGAGTTGCTTCTGGAGGCCGGGAGCCTTTAGGAATCCTCCCCCCCCCCCCCCGCGAGTATTGCAGGTCCCACTTCTTGTACCCTCTAACCTATCATCTTCTCCTATTAAGATTTCTGTCTCAAAAGGCTGGATTGACTGACAGCAATTTTGAATGAAATCCCATTAAAGAGTTTGCATTAGGTAGAAAAGAGAAATGGACAAAGATAATAGAGACAAGAAAGAGAATTTTGAATTGTTAAGCAAAACAAAATTGTTATTGTGCATAATAACGCTCTCCTATATAACACACAGATGGTTTTGAAATGGATGTGTATGTAAGAGACAGGGAGGTTCAGATTGAGACTTCAGTAAGCAGCAGTTAAAGTATTTCCTGTGTGTCTTTTTATGTAAAATGTTTTTTGGGGGAAAAAATGTTCCAAGCCATTACTGCATTTCATCTTATTGAAGATAATTTAAAATAAAACCCAGTTGCAGCCTTTATCATCTTAGTTGCTTAGTACTTTGAATTAACTTTTCTGGTTGCCTCCAGAGTTCTTACCTGTTAAGAATTTCTTGCATTTACTGGCTGTCATTGACTATTCCCTTTACTTTAGAGCAGCAGTCATGTGCAAACAAAACTGCCTTTCTGTACACTTTGAAAGTAGAAATGTCAGGAATATTGATGTTCAGAAAAGATCTATAGTTCTATACAGACAAACTACACAGAGCACAAAAGAACAAAAAGCTCTCTTTTCAGTTCAGACTAAAAATAGAACATTAATGGTCATGTATGATAGCTAATAGTTCTAAAAACATGTGTA